CAACACCACCATGATTGAGTGGGATTTATTCCATGGATGCAGGGATAGTTCAACATCTGCAAATCAGTCAATGTGATATACCACATTAACAAAATGAAAGATGAAAAACATATGATCATCTCAATGCATACAAAAACATTTTTGACAAAATTCAGTTAATTATACTTTAAAAGGACTAGATGAAGATAAAATGAGTGTGTTAAAACATGGCCAAGATTAACTTATTTTTGTCCATCCCCCTACAGATTAATTTCCAAATGAGCTTATAATTAGAAAAACTAAAACTCGAGAATATATTGACTCCTATATTTCTTATCTCCCTGGCAGTGATACCTAAACAGTTACAAATTCACATTTATTAAGAGACCAGACTAATGCAACCAGTTTAAAAAAACCACAGAAATAGCAGGGTCATATAATCTATTAACTGCATGTAAATTTTTTTCCTTTTCACACCTCTGTCAATAATACAATAACCTCTACCAGAGGGCTTGAAAGAAAGGCCTTGGGATCTAGGAGGACAAGGATAAAAGGATTAATGCAAACCATGCAACATCATTAGAAAAACAACTCAAAATTCAGTTCAGAGTATCATCTTCATAAACAAACATACCATTTTTAAAAAACAAAACATAACATTTGCCAAACAAGTATCCATATCTGAAAGTATGGTTAATCCAACATAAAACATGTAAACTGGTAAAGAATTAGCAATGTAGAATACAAAGAATAGTCATTCTCACTTCTAAGAAACACAGTAAGTTTCCTTCAAAGTTTGGAGTTTCATTCCAGGATTCATTCCAGGATACATCAAAGGTACTTCTGCTTCTTTTTAATATGTTGAATGAGGGTTAACAAACTTTTTCTGTAAAAGGATAGACAGTAAATATGGGACATATGATTTATGGGACATATGATCTCTGTCACAACTCAGCGTGTAGCCACAGAAAATATATAAGCAACATAGGCATGGCTATGTTGCAGTAAAACTGTATTCACAGAAACAGGTAGTGGGCAGGGTTTGGCCCATGAATCTAAGTTCGTCAACACCTAATGTAGAGAGTCACAAGTGAAAGTTACTGTCACGCAAACAGTGAGAACAAATAATAAGTACAATAATATACAAATAATAAGTTTTGAGTCCATCAAAGAGCTAGCATTTTTGGATAAAACTAATAAACCAAAACCCAAAGAGTAGCAAACTTCTCCAAGGAGAGAAAAGAACCACTAAATATTTCATCTCTAGAAGGAAAACAAGAAGAGAAGAAATGTACCATAGATAGGGGTAAGAAAAAAGGCAGAAAAGTTTGTGAACAACAACAAATTTGTGAAAGCGAAGTATGGGTTGGTACATTTAAGCATTTAGTATTCATTTTGTTCAATTTTTAGGCCATATCCATTTATGTCACATTAACTTTTTTCTTAACATTGTATTTGTTACAATGAACCTCCACTGACACATCATTATCATTCAAAGACCATAGTTGACATTAGGGCTCACTCTTGGTGTTACACATTCTATGGGTTTGGAAAAATGTGTTATGACATATCCACTATTACAGTTTCATGCAGAGTAGTTTCACTGCCTTAAAAATCCTCTGTGCCCCCCAAATTCTCTGTACCACATGAATTCATCCCTGACAACCACTGATCCTTTTACTGTGTTCATAGTTATACATTTTCCAGAATGTCATATAGTTGGAATCACATGGTATGTAGCCTTTTCAGATTGGCTTCTTTCACTCAGTAATATGCATTCAAGTTTTCTTCAAGTCTTCTCATGACTTGATAGTCATTTCTTTTTTGTGCTGAATAATATTTCATGTCTATATGTACCTCAATTTATTTACCCATTCACTTACTGAAAGATATCTTGGTTGCTTCTAAGTTTGGGAAATTGTGAATAAAGTTGTTGTAATTATCCATGTGCAGGTTTTTGTATACTAAGGAGTATGATTGTTAGATCATATAGTAAGATTAGGTTAGTTTCATGAGAAACTGAAATACTGTCTTCCATTCTGCATTCCAATCAGCAGTGGATGAGAGTTCCTGTTGCTCCAAATTCACTCCAGAATTTGGTATTGTCAACGTTCTAGACTTTGGCCATTCTAAAAGTGTATATCTAAAAGTGTATTCTAAAAGTGGTATCTTACATGTGCATGAGTGCTAACTCACTTCAATCATGTCTGACTCTTTATGACCCTATAGACTGGAGCCCTCCAGCCTTCTGTGTCCATGGGATTTTCCAGGTGAGAATAATGGAGTGGGTTGCCATACCCTCCTCCAGGGAATCTTCCCAATCCAGGGATCAAACCTGCCTATCTTAAGTCTCCTATATTGGCAGGCAGGCTCTTTGCCACTAGCGCCACCTGCGAAGCTCTAGAGGTATCTCATGGTTGTTTTAGTTAGTGTTTCTCCCTCTTTTGGTTTTCATGTGATCAGTGGTACTATCACAGCCCCCATGGTGGATGGTAAATGTTACTCATCTATTATCAAACTTCTTAGGAAAAATTTTAGTACTTAATTTTTATTATGCAAGTACTTCCAATTCTCATTATTAACTAAAAGGTTTGCTGAAATTTTTCTTAAAATTTTATTTAATTTCTTAAAATTTTCTTAAAATTATCAAATTAATAAAAGTTATTACAGCAGACATTGTCAGTACCTTGTGAATATCCCCCCAACCTCTCCATGTCTTCTAGCCAAATTCCCATGAGTATCTGCATCTCTGTGACAAAGGGCTCCTTTCTCCTAGCCATCCTCAGAACTGGGGACTGTTGTGCTACTTTTTCATACAGAAATCCAGAACTTCTGAGTGATCAATAACCACCCAAGAGAAATTCCAACTCACAACCCTCCAAAGTAGATGCAGAATTACACCCTAACACTGCTCCTTCAATGAAATAATTCTGAACTGTTTGTTTTGTACCATTTCCCAGAGGTTCTCCACAGGACTAAGCTCCTGTCATGTGTGGCAGTAAATGGCTTAATTTTTCACTTTTTGGTTTGTTTATTTGTTTCAATTTTGCTGTCCTCTCTTTTTTTTAATTTATTTTTTAATTGAAGGATAATTGCTTTACAGAATTTTGCACTTTTTATTGGCCTCCTTACTGCTCTGATTTCCTTCCCCACTACCCTATAGATATTACTTGCATCTCACAAATAAAGTACATTTACTCTAATCTTTGCTGGACAACTACTCCGCCTCTGAGAGAAACCAAAACTAAGACATCTGTAGATTTATACCAGAAAATGAATGATAAAACTACTATTCAAGAACATTCAGACTATTGTCTCTGTACACATCTATTTCTGGTACCCATTTTCAGGAAGATCTAACCTGTAGTATCCCACTGATTCCACTGAGAGCAGACTAGCAGCTTCACGTGTTTCAGGTGGAAGCAATGGCCACAGCATAACTGGCTAGTATACCAAGAGACCTGAAGGGGCAACAGCACCAAAGTATTTTTCCTGTCACTACTCAAAACTGAAAGGAGCTAGCTGTGCCTAATCACTAGTGACCAAGGACACTATTTTATCACTGAGAACCGTGCACATTGGCCTTAAAAGGGAGACATTGGTTATGCTACCAGCGCACGGCATGCTGATCAGCACACTGATCATAGGTCTCATACACTTCCAGACAAGACCACAGAAGAATCTAGAAACACAAAATGGAGGTCTGCTTAACACTTGCCAGCTTACTTTAAGGGGAGAAATATCAATAACCTCAGATATGCAGATGACACCAATGTTATGGCAGAAAGCAAAGAAATAAAGAGCCTCTTGATGAAAGTGAAAGAGGAGAGTGAAAAAGCTGGCTTATAACTCAACATTCAGAAAACAAAGATCATGGCATCTGGTCCCATCACTTCATGGCAAATAGGTGGGGGAACAATGGAAAGAGTGACAGAGTTTACTTGGGGGGCTCCAAAATCACTGCAAATGGTGACTGCAGCCATGAAATTAAAAGACACTTGCTCTTTGGAAGAAAAGTTATGACCAACCTAGACAGCATATTAAAGACAGAGACATTACTTTGCCAACAAAGGTCCGTCTAGTCAAAGCTATGTTTTTCCAGTAGTCACGTATGGATGTGAAAGTTGGACTGTAAAGAAAGCTGAGCACCAAAGAACTGATGCTTTTGAACTGTGGTGTTGGAGAAGACTCTTGAGAGTCCCTCTGACTGCAAGGAGATCCAACCAGTCCATGCTAAAGGAGATCAGTCCTGAGTGTTCTTTGGAAGGACTGATTCTGCAGCTGAAACTCCAATACTTTGGCCACCTGATGCAAAGAACTGACTCATTTGAAAAGACTCTGATGCTGGGAAAGACTGAAGGTGGGAGGAGAGGGGGACAACAGAGGATGAGATGGTTGGATGACATCACCGACTCAATGGACATGAGTTTGAGTAGGTTCCAGTAGTTGGTAATGGACAGGGAAGCCTGGCGTACTGCAGTCTATGGGGTCACAAAGAGTCGCACATGACTGAGCAATTGAACTGACTGACTAACAATAATATAATATTTCCTCTTTTAAATGAAGAAAGAAAAACAGTATAAATACTAAATTAGATGGAGTACCAGGATATTAGGGATAAACCAAGTGTGTTTCAGGCCAACAAGAATATGTTCTCTCAGACTTAACATTAAAAAGTTACAGGGCTAACATTGAATACTGCCTACACAAAAGCCATTCACAGCTCCTTTCTCAGCTTAACAGTTGGAAAGTGAGAACACCTTCTCTTGCTCCCTGCACCTAGGGGTGACTTTGTGACCCAGTTCTTGCCAATGATATGTAAACAAATGCTACTGGATGGAGCTTTGGAGAAAGCTTCTTTTTTTTTTTTTTTTTTCATTTTCAAATGCATCACTTTATTTTCCTTGGAAGGCAGTCATACATTACACACCTTAAGCACGTGATAGTTACATGGTTTCTTCAATAAGCAGTAGAGCTTCCACAGCTCTCCTGGGGCCTGCAGCCCGAGCAGTCCTGAGGAGTCAAATGTTAAAGCTTTCTCCACAGCCACATGTTCCTTTGATGTTTGGGTTATTGAACACAAACTCACTGGATAATTTGTCTTCAACATAGTCCATTTCTGTTCCTAACAGTGTTAGCTGTGCTTTCTTCTCGATGAACACTCTGACTCCATCTTGAATAACTTCTTCATCAGAGTCTCCTTTTGTCTTTGTATATTCTAAAGTGTAGGAAAGGCCATTACAACCCCTGGTTCGGACACCAACTTTCACGCCAACATGTTCAGGCTTATCTTTAAGAAGTTGTTTTATCTTGTTTACCGCTGAAGGTGTCAGGGTGAGGGCGGCCCGGGTGGGCTGCAGCTTCCTCTTGCTCACAGCCCGGACAGTGGCCCGGACTAACGAAGCCGACATCCTCGCCGTCCTGCTGCCCCGGTGTCTAGGGCTGGAGGTCGGCCATCTCAACCTCGAGAAAGCTTCTTAAAAGAGGCAAACTAGCAGGCCTTTTCATCACTTGGCCCTTCAGCTTTCTCCTTTCTACTTTCTTGTACTCAAATATGATGACTGGGAATCCAGTAGCCATCTTTTAACCATGAGAAATGAGAAAAGATGGCAATAAAGATGCTTGAGTAATTGGTGATATTGTAGATACCATGGACTGGTCTTTAGATCTCTTTTTATGCATGCGCGTACACACACACACACACACACTAAAAATCTTTCTTTGTTCATGTGGCTCTAGTAGAGTTTAGTTCAGTTTGGAGTGAAACACTGTCCTAATCGAAATGTATCCAAGTTCTTTCAATAAAAATACCCAACATTCATTATACCCATGAAAAGATTTCTCTCTCTGCTAGTCTTCATTAACTCTACCAAAAATGGAAATTTGATAACTTATGATTCGTGTTTGTTAGATCTAAGGTACCATTTGAATTCAATATTAAGACACTAACAAGCTTTCTTAATACATTTAACTTCTTTCCCAATTATTGAACACTATCTAGAGGCCACCTAATCAATTTTTATGCATATAATTCATCACAACTTTATTGAAAACTTCTTGAGGGGAGATACAGGCTCATATACTTTGGCTGACTCTATGAAATTTATCAATAATTGACTGGAAGCACTTTACACAGACTTCACTTTCTTAATTATCAGAAACTGTTAGAAATGTTTTCCTAAAGGTTTTTGTTTTAAATGCTTTTAAAAGCTCTAAAAAATTTCTCCGAATTAAATTATTTCAAAAAGTAGGATGAAAAGTGTATTTCCTCTTTTCTTAGATTAGTTTTAAGTAAACTGAATTTTATATCCCTGTTTAACATTTTTAAGTTGATTGGCAAGAAGCGAGCTTTCAACACTGTACAAATTAACCACCTGAGTTAGTTATTTTTAAAAAAGCAAATAGCTCATTTCAATTCCCCTGCCCCAAAAAAGCTATTTTTTACTTCTCTTAGAGTAGATCTGCCTTTAAATGAGAGGATGATTGTGAATCACTCTGAATTACTCACAGACTGTGTTATATTGTTCCTCAAGATGAACTTTAAGAGGTATCTTGTGATTTATGTATTTGTAATCAAAAATAAAGGCAGCCTGATATATTTACTCTGGGAGTAATTTGCATTCCATTATATGTGCTTAGTCAAATGCTAGGTATACAGCTGAGGCAGAAGAATGAAGAAAGCAAAGTAATTGTAGGTCTTTGTACTAGAATTTACCTGGTTTTGTAAGATCTGAAAGTGAATCACTTGATTGGTCACACACTGTTCTGCTGGGATCCACGTGATAATTTGTACATGTGGGTCAATTTTTCCTCCCCAACTGGACTAGATTATTTGTGGGCAAGAAATGTGCCTTTTATACATTGTTTTCTGTCTTCACTGAATGGTGTGCTCCTGGGCACATAGCTGAAATTGCATAAATACCATTCAAATGATTGACTGACATCTCACAAGTTGATAGCTATTTTAGGAGCATAAGACCTTCCAGTGATTATTAAAGAGAGAACAATAGAGTGTCCTTGATTCCCATATTTGTAAGCACATATTTAATAACACAGCTTCTCAAGGGCATTTCTTTCTACTTTGAAAATCACTTGGAAAATATTTGGCACCTATTCTTGGAATCAGTATTAAGTTGAAGGAAAATGCCTATAAATTCTTTCAGAGTTATTCCTTCTGTGTGTGTTTTTTTTTTCCTTACTGTATTCTTTTACTGCTAAAAATGAAAACCAAAACAACAACAACAACAACAAAAAAAAAAACAATTCTCAGTTGTGTACTAAATTAAGAAATCCTTCAGCTTAATATTAAGCTTCCTATTTTGATCATGTGTTCCAGCCAAATCACCTGATTTCTACAGTCTTGGACCCAGTCCCCAGGCTCTATCGTGTCTTGCTGTTCTCTATACCTGAAACACTTTCCTCCATTCTTTGCCTGCAATGATTCTACTCATCTTTGAAGATACCTCCCAAATAAGACATCATCCAGAGCTTTCTCAAAGGGATATCAGCTCTTCTACCCTTAACCCTCCCACATGAGTAAGGTTTCCTAGGTCTCCTACGTGATTCTATTATATAAAATGATGAGATTTGCCTTAAATTGCTTCAGCTGTCTGTTATACGGAACTAAAAAAATGCCCTTCATTAAGTGGGAACTGTTCCAGGAACTGTTAGTTCTCTGTATGTTGTCATTTGATCATCAGAGCAACCCATGTTACTATCTCCATTTTACACATGAAGTGCTAAGCCCTGGGTGTTGACTCATATTTAGGCCCTTGTCCATGGGAAAATGATCCAAGAAGCAGAGTTTGGGCAACAAATATTTAATATGGTGACTATGTTATCTGGAAGATGCTTGATTAAAATAGAAACATGACTGTGATACTTAAGGCACAATTTCCTCTCTACCTATATCCATTTTCCTTCACTGAACCCAACTTGATCTTTCTTGGTTTGCTAGCATTTTCCCTAAACTTGGAGGTCTCTTGAAGGAGCACTGTGAGGTCTCAAATTTAGCTTCCCACCTTATCTAGAACTATACTGTTTCAACACTCTATCCTTAGACGTTTTTATCTCACAATCTAACAAGTGCTAGTTTCAAGTCCATACTTACTTGCTGCCTATGGGAAAACCATTCAGTCTTCAGTTAAGTATCAGACTCTTGCTTACATTCATTATTTGGGGTCCAGAAAGTTGGCATACATTTTAGAATATTGCTTTATGAATTTAAAATAATCTATAGGAAAAAAAACTTGTATTGGAATGATACTCTGAAAATGTTGTGGTCTGAATTTTCTAACATTTACTTTTTAAAATTATCTTAATCACAGTAATTATTTTTTCTAATGTTACACTAAAAGTAGGAGCTTAAATTGTTGGACAGGAAGATATAATTTAATAAAGGGCATCTTTCTCTACATTGACATGGATGTTAAATCTTTTTTTAAGATTCTAATGTGGCCTAATTACTTTAATTTAAAATTCTGGGTATGCATGTTTTATTCATGTCTTTCTAGATGATTGAGAAAGTTTTTGCAGTTCCTTTGAAGCTCTAACTTTGGAAATATAACAAATAATGAAGCCATCATATTTTCAAAATGCTCAGATAGAGAAGACTTTTGAAAGACAGTGTAATTGTGAATCAAAGCTTAATCAGCTGCTGTGAAATGAGTTTTTAATTATTACATTGTCCCTGATATGCTGGAGTTCACCAAGGGTAAAAGAATGACCTCACACACACTTTCTCTGAAACTATAGATTTTTTTTTTCCCTTTGCAGCATATCACCTTGAATATTCAGAAACTAAGTTGTTCTGCCTCCCATGAAAATACTCCTCAGAACAATTGTTCACATACCCTTGGTTAATCTCACACAAGAAATAGAAAGTGTCATTCATTTTTCTCTCACTAAAATACATTATTTCTGCAGTGGGCATGATGGTTTCTGAATCAGAATAGTCATCTATTCCCACTGAAAAATCCACATTTTACAAAGTTTTTTTAAGTTCATTAAAGAGAATATCAGAAAGGGTGCTCAAGGCATAAATCTTTAGATCTCAGCATTCTGGATCAAAATAACTAGCTTTATTTCAAGTGGTCAATGATAATACAGATTTTCCAAGCTGGGGAAGAGTATGTTTACACAAGGAGACTCTCCAGGCAGTCAGTACCTGATGTCTCTTCAGGTAAAGTTCAACTCAAATTTCCATTTTTAGCAAGTGGTAGTACATCATGAGAAATGCTGGGCTGGAAGAAGCACAAGCTTGAATTAAGATTGCCAGGAGAAATATCAATAACCTCAGATATGCAGATGACACCACCCTTATGGCAGAAAGTGAAGAAGAACTCAAGATCCTCTTGATGAAAGTGAAAGAGGAGAGTGAAAAAGTTGGCTTAAAGCTCAACATTCAGAAAACTAAGATCATGGCATCTGGTCCCATCACCTCATGGGAAATAGATGGGGAAACAGTGGAAACAGTGTCAGACTTTATTTTGGGGGGCTCCAAAATCACTGCAGATGGTGACTGAAGCCATGAAATGAAAAGACGCTTACTCCTTGGAAGGAAAGTTATGACCGACCTAGACAGCATATTAAAAAGCAGAGACATTACTTTGCCAACAAAGGTCTGTCTGGTCAAGGCTATGGTTTTTCCAGTGGTCATGTATGGATGTGAGAGTTGGACTGTGAAGAAAGCTGAGCACCGAAAAATTGATGCTTTTGAACTGTGGTGTTGGAGAAGACTCTTGAGAGTCCCTTGGACTGCAAGGAGATCCAACCAGTCCATCCTAAAGGAGATCAGTCCTGGGTGTTCATTGGAAGGAGTGATGCTGAAGCTGAAACTCCAATACTTTGGCCACCTGATGCAAAGAACTGACTCATTTGAAAAGACTCTGATGCTGGGAGGGATTGGGGGCAGGAGAAGAAGGGTATGACAGAGGATGAGATGGCTGGATGGCATCACCGACCTGATGGGCATGAGTTTGAGTAAACTACAGGAGTTTGTGATGGACAGGGAGGCCTGGCGTGCTGTGATTCATGGGGTGGCAAAGAGTCGGTCACAACTGAGCAACTGAACTGAACTGAACTGAATCTTCTTGAGTTAAGAGTAAAACAGACACAATGTAAATAACTTCTCAAACTTTCTGCCTCAAATGTAGACATTTACATCTATATATCCTAATCTCTGGTCATGAAATAAGACAAGGAGATCAGAACTTGTATGTTTTATGAGAGGAGGGATAAATTAGAAGTCTGGGATTAACATATACACACTACTATGTATAAAATAGATAACCAACAAGGACCTACTGTACAGCACAGGGAACTATAGTCAATACTATATAATAAAGGAAAAGAATCCCAAAAATAATATATATACATCTATATATGTGTGTGTAACTGAACGGCTGTACTG